TGAGTCAGGTAGAGGTCATCCACGCACAGTAGGAAGCTTTGCGACCGCTTGGATTTTGCTGAGTGATCTCCCCACGAGATGTTCAGGTAATTGAACTCACCCATGACAACCATGGTCCTGGAGCATGCGACCTCAGCCAGTTCCCGGATAAACTCTTTGTCAAGCTCTTGACTTTGGGTGGGAGGTCTGTAGTAGACTCCCACAGCTGTGTCCCCTGTGCCATGTTCCTCATGGATTTTAACCCAGAGGGCCTCCAGTTGTCTACTCTGGTCGCCAACATCAGCTTGCAGGAACGCGTAGCTTTCCTTAACATAGAGAGCTACACCCCCACCCCTTTTATCTACTCGATCCCTCCTGTACAAGGTATAGCCATCTATACCTATGGTCCAGTCATGGGTGGAGTCCCATCAGGTCTCCGTTATCCCTATGATGTCATAATTATTTGCGTTAAGCAGGAGTACGAGTTCCTCCTGCTTATTCCCCAAGCTCCTGGGATTTGTGTACAGGCAGGCAAGTGTCCCCTTTGGGGCTCTTACCTTATCCACAGATTGTACCAGGGCTGGGGCAGGGGTGGGCTCCCTTAAGTGCCTTGGCCTGCTGGCTTTGCAATGGTTGCTAAGTGGGCCAGCAGTGGCGGTATTCCCCCCACCCCCCAGCAGGCTTAGTTTAAAACCCGGTGGAGCAGATCAACCAGTCTGGCTGAGAAGAGCATCCTCCCCAGCGGAAAGAGGTGGAAGCTGTCTCTTCCCAGCAGCTGCCGCCTCTCTCGCCAAAGAGCGGGCTGTGGTCATGGAAGCCAAAGCCTTCCCGATGACACCAGCACCACAGTCTTTGGTTAACTACATGGATCCTCCTCTCTCTCCTCAGCCCATACCCCGAGACTGGGAGGATTGACGAGAACACCATCTGTGCCCCCAGACCCTTTAGCCCTGCTCCCAAATCCCTGTAGCGCCTCATGACCCGGCTGGGAGCGCTTCAAGCTGTGTCATTGGTGCCCGCATGAATAAGGAGCATGGGATAGTGGTCTGTGGGCTGGAGGAGCTTAGGGATCTTC